TATGATATTAAAGAATACATTGATATAATTGACTTGTGTGCCATTGTATACAACAGCATCTACCAAATTTGAAAGTGCTCGACCTCTCGCATTCCCCAAAGCTAGTTAGGACACAGGATTTTGATGGACTTCCATGTCTTGAAAGAATGATATTAAGCTATTGTAGGAGTTTAAAAGAGATACATCCATCAATTGGATATCATGAAAGGCTTATTTTCTTGGCCATGGACTATTGTACAAGCCTTCAACTGTTTCCACCCATCTTCCGAATGTAAAAGTTGGAGACTCTTATACTCTCTGATTGCCGTAATCTTTGTAAGTTCCCAGAGATCCAAACCAGCATGGACAACTTGGTAAAGTTTAGTTTGAGAGGAAGTGGGATAGAAATTGTACCCTCATCAATTGGACAATACTGTAACAACCTTGTTTCTCTTGATTTGAGGTGGTGTTTATATCTACAGAGTATTGAAGGCAACTTCCATCTCTTAAAACAACTACAATTTCTTTATCTTGAGGGTTGTGATCAACTTAAGAACATACCAACAGACGGCCTCTTAAATGCAGAATGTTGTTTAAATGTGCTTTCTTTATCTTCGAGCAATCTTCAGCCAGGAGCAGTGAATGAATTTCTTGGCTTTCGACGTTTTTTAAGAAGGTTGAGTCTTAGAGGTTGCAATTTGGTAGATGACGACATCACCTCTTTTTTTTGTGAGGAGTTATCCAACCTACAAGTATTAGACCTAAGCAGTAATGGGTTTTCACGATTGCCTTCCAGCCTCTCGCAACTTTCTCATCTCAAATTCATCGACCTGTCTCTTTGCTATAGCCTTGTGGAATTACCGGATCTCCCATCAAGCATATATATTCTTATTGCACGCGGGTGCACGTCTCTTAAAATTGGAGATTTTCCAACAAACCATCTTAAATGGTTGTGGAAAGTCACACTTCCACCAAGCAATTATAATGGCGAGAGTGTACTGCAATCCATGCTTCAGGTGTATATCTTGTTGAGTTTCAATATATATATATATATATATATATATATATATATATATAGACCCAAACAAAGTTATGATACTAATAATATTCATCATGATAGGGAAATGCTATCAAAGACTACTTTATCAGTATCCAACTTGGAGAATGTTATGTTCCAATAAGAGGCTTTGCATGGGGAACATTTACATTACAACTTCCATGGAATTGGTACAATGAATTTAGTGGATTCTTAGTATACGTTGATAAATGGTATGTGCATAGATGGAATATGTTAATGACTGAAGTCATTACTATCACGGATGTGTTGGGCATGGAAAATGGAGATGGTGTTTTAGAGGTGTCTAATAAAACTGAGCGTGATGAAGAGAAAACTATGAGAGCGAAGGGCATGTGGTATATATCCTTTGGTTCATTGAGGAACACCTCATGGTGGAATTCAACCCACACTACCCTTTCATTTTCACAGGCTGACTAACTTCAAAGTTGAACTTGTTCCTGATAGAAATCAAGGTGATGATGATTCAATATTGAAAGATGCAACATACCTTTCAAATTTTTGGGACGAGGAATTTCAAAATCAAAAGACGTTTGAGATCATAAGTGATTCAAAGTCCTCTATTCAGATTCAATGGGACACTCGTAGTATTCGATCAGAATTGTTCGTTGATATCTAATATTCTTTTTATTGTTTGTGGCATTTTTATAGAAATTGTTTAATTTTTTTCCCTTTCTCCTTTTTTTTAAAACCTATCTAATATTCAATGTGATTTTCTCATATACTCTCTGGTTGCAAATTAGGCCGGAAAACATCTCTCATCTTGTATCTCATCACAATCTTAAACCCTAAATCATTTTTCTTCGGATATTTCTCAAACCCTTCATCCTAATCACTTTCTTGGCCATTTGCTTACAAATTGCTTATTGCTTCAAACCTTAATTTGTTATAAAATTGCTTATTGCTCCAAACTATAATCTCTTGATAAATTGTCTATTGCCTACAAAATGTTGTCTTTTTATTTGATGTGTCACTTATGTGGACAATCTGGTTTTTCTAGATAAAACAAAAGAGATGAGTCATGGGTTGTACGATGGAGGTTATGGGATCATATATAAGCCTCTAGATTGGTCTCTCAACTCCCTCTTTTAGTAGTTTGTTCTTTCTATATGTTCAAACCATTTCATCTAGAAGTAAAGTATATAAAATACTAGTATAATGTGGTGTTTGGTTTAACCAAAATAGTAAAAAAGGTAACCGGAAACTTAACCAAATAAGGGATTAACTGAACCGTTATACCGAAAACCAGAATAACCCAAAATCATTTTGATTTAGATCAGTTATTCGGTTCTGTGTTTTTTCACACCCCTAGGTCCTCCCATGATCACTCGAGTTTTTGGATTTGCCCCTAATAAAAGAGGCTTTCCGCTTTCACATAACCCTGGGCGAAAAAAGAGGAAAGTTGATCGGCAATCAAACAAGTGATTGGAAAGTAATTGCAGTTAAAGAACACATCATCAGTGAAATAATTTATAGAGATTGAATAAGTAGCAAGATTATCTACTGACCAACTCCATGAATTATAACCTGTAAATCATCGACGCTTGCTCCAATCCATTTCAAACACTTGCCCAAATGAAGATCTTGACATCATGTCCTATAAAAAAACGATAACCAGATTTCCTTCATTATTCTTTTTTAAGTCATTCTTGGATGTGATTTCCACACCTCCTAATTCATACATAACCATCAATCAAGGGAATGTAGACAAATTGATAACACATACCATAATTTAAGGGAATGAACACACACTTTAATCACATGTAGAAACGACTATATTTTGACTTACCGGCACTTGCATTGGTAATTCACTGAAGGTTTCCATAAATCCTTGGCTAAACGAATAGTGCTATTTTCCAATTGGTCTATTTTCATTCTGTTGCTAACGCCTTTAATTTAACCTATCTTACCTCACTATAACAAAATATGTTTTTTAGGATATTTTCAAATTCTAAGTGTTCAAATAAATCTCTTTATAGGACATAGTTTATAGAACTAAAAAAGTAAAGTGTCCTATCTAAATACGTTGTAATAAATTTATATGACGTTTTTTGATGTCGTAATAATTTTTTATGACACTTTTAAAATAAAGCGTCCCATTATTAACTTTATAAGACACTATCTGAAAAACTGTCATATAAAAACAAATGTCCTATAAAAAATTGAGTTTATAGAACACTTTCTCAAAAGTGTCCTATAAAGTTGATAATGTGACGCTTTTATATTAAAAGTGTCCTAAAAAACTTATTACGATGTCAAAAAAAAGTCATATAAACTTATTGCAACACCTTTAGATAGATATGACACTTTGTTTTTTTGGTCCTATAAACTAAGTCCTATAAAGAGATCTATTAGAATACTTAGAATGTAAGAGTATCTAAAAAACCGATTTTGTTGTTGTGCCTCCTGTTGACAAAATTTTCTGCTAGTGATAAAATCGATACCGATAATCCACCTATGTTTTCAGCTGCTGCTTATAATATGCTTCCACCATGGTCGTAGTCACATCATCTATCGCATAAAGTCAAAGACATAGTTGATGATGAAAATTTTCTCYCTTCTTAAATGCTATAATATTTACTTCATCTCATTCATCTACGATCAATCTATCTTCTTCAATCTTTTCGTAGTACCGAATCAGCCCTCCAATGGCATCTTCATCATCGTCTTTTCGCTCCACAAACTCTTCTTTTTCTCAATCATGGGAACACGATGTTTTAATTGGCTTTAGAGGAACAGACACCCGCAACGCTTTTGTGGATCATCTCTATTCGGCTCTTGTACACAAAGGAAAGTACACTTAAGGATGACCAAACACTTCCCCGGGGTGAAAACATTGGTCCATCGCTTTTGAAGGCTATTGAAGCATAACATATTGTTGTAATCGTATTCTCCGAAAATTACATATCATTTTCATAGGATAAAACTGAAACCTTTTTACGTTTTTAGAGGACAACCACAAACTATGCATGGAATTGTACTTGTACTAAAGGGGTGTTGGGGATTGCTTATAAAAACAACTTATTAACCTATTCCGGTATGACATAGGTGATAAACACTTTTGAGTGTCTGGATAAACAACTTATACGGGTACCAAACCAATAATAAAATGTTTTTAAAAAAGTTCAACAATTCTAACTTACAATAAGTTAATAAGTGTTTTTATAAAAAAATATAAATAATTTCAAATAAACAATCTCAAACACCTAAATAATAATTTATATGTTACCGTGACACAGACAGCACAATTATTAAATAAGACCTTCATATTTGCATAAAAAATCAATCCAATGTGAAAGGGTGGAAAGCAGTCAGCATCAGCAACCAAGAAACTTCCTCCATATCTTCCTGTGTCCACCCTCCCAATCCCATCAAGTTAAAAGACAGTTTTGTTGGACTGCTCTTTCATGGAAATTCTCTCTTAAATCAAACCAAATCTACCCATCGATCTATCTTCTTCAACCTTCTTGAAGTRCCCAATCCATTCTAAACAAGTCAACCTTTCAATGGCATCTTCATCTTCTGAATCGTGGAATCATGATGTTTTTCTCAGTTTTAGAGGAACAGACACTCGCACCACCTTCGTAGATCATCTTTATTCTGTATTTGTACAACAAGGAATCGACGCCTACAAGGATGACCAAACACTTCCCCGGGGAGAAACCATCGGACCATCCCTTTTGAAGGCTATTGAAGAATCACAGATTGCTGTCATCGTGTTCTCCGAAAACTATGCAGTTCTTCTTGGTGCTTGCAAGAACTTGCTCATATTATGAAATGCAAGGATGAGATGGGCCTAATTGTTATGCCCATATTCTATCACGTCGATCCCTCTGAAGTCCGAAAACGTGAGGGGAAATATGGAGAAGCACTAGCAAAACATGAGTTGGAGTACAAAAACGTCGAATCTTGGAGAAAAGCACTTGCGGATGCAGGGAACCTATCTGGATACGTCGCAGATGGATAATCTTATTCTTTGTTTTCTTTAAAAGTTTATGCTTCAAGTGTTTATACTCTACCACCCAATCATATTTGTAACTATATAAGCTTTCAAAGGATAAACCCAATTTTTTTTTAATGTTTTTAGAGAACAACTGCAAACTATGCAGAGAATTGAACTTGTACTGTACTAAAATCCATTAAAAAATGGGTATTTGTGGGAGAACAGATTACCTTTTTTCTCAACTGGAGCATCTGGTAATTATCCTTGTATATCCAATGTCCAGGCCCGAGACAATATTCATCAAACAAGTCGTTGACACCATTTCAAATAGATTGTCTGCGGCAATTTCAAGTGACAATGAAGACTTGATTGGAATAAAGGCTCGCCTGCAAGATCTCARATCTAAGATGRAAATGGAATCARATGGTGTAYTGATGGTAGGCATATGGGGRATTGGGGGTGGTGGCAAGACTACTCTTGCATCTGCTCTTTATGATGAAATCTCTAGCAAGTTTGATGGTTCCTGCTTTCTAAAAGATGTTCGGGAAGAATC